TGTTGCATCTTTACAATACTATAGGTTTATTTTATTTTGCATACTAATTTTATTATTGTCGGAAATTTTAAGTATTATTTTCTATTTGTATACAAATTCAATTCTATTATTCATTTTATTATTTAGCTACAATTTTCAGGTATATATTATTTATCAAATGCAAACAGTAATCTCAGTATTTTTGAACCATAAATTTTATAATGTATTCTACTATCTTATTGTAACATTTCTTCCTTTGAAAAGTCACGTTCGCTATATTACTGTAATTTCCAAATTTAAATTCATGTATTTTGTCTGTACCTGAAATGTGGTATTGACCTGACTGACAGGTCGCCCTGCACCCTCAGTGCTATTGTTAACGCCCACTGGCGAAACTATTTAAGTATCAAAACAGTATCGAATCAGTATCAAAACAGTATCGATAACAGTATCAACAAAGCAACAAACAAGACAAAATAATTCACTTTCAATCATAGAGCCTATTTTATACTTTTACATTTAATTTTATTCATTTTAGTTTATTTTAATTCTAAGTTAAGTGTTGACTATTAAATATTTAAAACAACAATCGTTATCATTTACATAAAATAGTTTGCTCGCAATTAATTTGGCGTGTAAAGTGAGAATACCAGAAAGAACTCTTTCAATTAAAATTTATTTTCTCACAACAAACATATTGAACCGTTTATCTAATTCCTTCTAACTATCAAAATTTAACACTTGGGCAGAATCTGTTCCGAATCTGTTACTAATTTAAGTAGAACAACGATTCAATGAATTCTCTTAAACAATTCAAGTTCCTTCCGTACAAAATCAAGCTAAGTCAGAAATTATATAAAGACAATTACAGCTAGTATGACAGCATGCAATTTCTTATCAATATTTGCAAATTTGAAAAAACTTTTACGCATACAGTTTACCACAAAGATAGTTAGTTGTGAATAGAATGACAACCATCAAGCCATCAGTCAGAATAAGTACCCAGCAAGTATTTCTCATAAGTCCAGATCTAGCGGTAAAAGTCTGGCGTGGATGCCTTTACTTCAATCTATAGCGTTCTGTAACTTTCTTCCGATAGGTATAGTGTTTATAATTATCGTAAGTTGAAGCATCCAGCAAAACAAGTTTTTTATTTACTTTTAATCATAGTAATTAATTAAACATTTCTACCTACCATGAAGACATAAAGTATAGTAACTGTAATTTCCTTTAATAAAGAACCTTCTGTGATATATAACGGTGGCAAAAAGAGTGCTAGTTTACCGAGAAGATTTAAATCCTATTAAAGAATTAATGAATGCAATTATGTATTTATTTTACAAAACTTTTATTTTGATATAAATTGACAAAGATGAATAATGAGTAATGGGAAAATAAACTAATTAATCAATAAAAGTGCAAGTTAAACAATATCTACCAGTAAATGATGATTGTTAGATGTAATTAATAATCATTTATCATTTGTTATTCAGGTTCATCTTCAAAATTATCCACTGTATTAGTAGTAAAGAATCTTTTATATTTCTCTTTTTTTTATTTATTCTATAACAAAGTGGCCAAAACTTTACAAAATATCATTGAAACTAGATTTACTCGTAATTATGAGCCAAATGTTCTTTAAGCCTAACATATATAGAGCGTTCAGTTTGTCCAATATATTTCTTACAGCAATCTTTACAATAAATTTTATATATCCCCGACATTTGGCTCATGCCAACTTAAATTAGGGAAGGAATCTAGAAATAATTATTTGCTTGACAGAGACAATAAGTATTTTTATTTATATTTAAGCTCTCTTAACAGTTAGAAGAATCTTATCTCTATTCTGAAACTGAATCCTACTTTGTCATTATACTCAGAAATCTACTTATATTTAGTGTAATTACTCTCTTCTGTATATGTTTTACATTTATGTCGTTGGAGACTTCAATAGTGCGTTAGGCGACGAATCCGGCAAAAGATTACAGTGGGATCAATAATCAACTTTGTAAAAATATGTTTCAAATAAAAATATTTGTGATTATGTTTTCAAAATACATATTCTGTCAAAATAACACTAAATGGGGGGTATGTTTAACATAAAAACAATGTAGAAATGCCTTTTTATAGCTTTGAGTGAACTCTAAGTTTTGAGGTGATTCCTATTTCATCGTTATTGCTGAAAACTGCAAAACCTATTTCATAGATCTGGACACAAAGTAACATTGACTTAATAGTCTACCTCGAAAAAGCCTAGTCTCAAAAGAAAAAAAACATCGGTGAAAAAAAGTTTCAAAATTTTCAAATTTTACTCAATTTGGAACTCAATAAGGAACTCTAAATTTTTTTTATTTCTTGTATTTGTTAGGTACCTGAATTGTTTTCTTTTACGGTAAAAGGGTGAAGTCAGCACCCCGAAATTTAATTTTTTTCCTAGCGTTAGTTATTTACAAATTTTTGTTAGCATCATTGCAATTATTATTTATTAATGGACAACTACAAATTCCCCTAAAAAATAGTACTTAATTTGAAAATTATCCAACGTATAAATGGTAAACACTGCATGATCTAATTGATATCATCAATAATTTATATAGATAATTATACGAACATAATCCATGAGTGGTGGTTCGAGAATGCGAGAGAAGAAGATCTCGTGTTACTCATGTGCGTGTAGGTGCGCGATTTGTAAAGCGACCCGTGGTAAGAGATTATCTATTGATCCTGATCCTTCGCGATCGTAAAGTATCTCAGCGTGGCAAGTAAACAAAGGCACGCATGCGCGTGTTTCCACGCTGTTTTGATCCTCGCATGAGATTCACGGCACACGTTGATTGCCAGCGACATATAGTGGACGCGAAACGTAACAGTCTACGCCTACGCGATGCGTGCGCGATTACACCGGTTTGTGAAAATTTAAAAACAATGGAACAAGTTGCCATAACAAAATAGCTTATTATTATAGACGAGCGTGCTATTCATTCACGTGATACGTCAAACCATCCAAGTGATTGAAGGTGTATGTGTGTATAAGTACATGTGTTTAAAAGTTTCCGTTTCCTCGTTTTATGATAAGGTGGATGAAGTTTACGTGACAGGTACATATATGTATACAGGACCAATTAAACAGTTAAAGACGGAAGGATTTTAAGGATTCGGTTTGTACAACTTGACCTGAATTGAAGTTTTTATTCGTATGTGGTAAAATAATAAAAGAATTCTATGAGTGACGTATCTAATTTACCATAATTTTTGAGTATGATAGTAGGAAATACAAAAAGAAAATCGTTTCGGATGCGGGCACGATAGGATTACGTAAACGTTTATTAATTTCGATAAAACTACTCAAAATTAAAACTCAAAAGAAGGCCCTCATCTCTTATAGTTTTTCCCAGCATGTAGATAGTCTATTTTGGAAATGCCAAGAGTGGACATTTTCAGATATTATTTTAGCCATAGAATTTGTTATGTATCTTTGTCATATTAAAACGTTGGGGAGCTCGAAATGTGGAAAATCTTTGCGGTAACATGTTAGGATAATGCGGAAGCAACGGTTCCGTGCAGGCGGGCAGTCTACTATGAACAGGAGGGAAATATAGAGGGTTAAGATGTCCTATTTCTCTTAATTACATATTGATTAAAATTTTACAAAACTGTAGACCTATGTTTACAATAAATTACCGAAAGGGGGACAAAAGTGGTTGTTATTAGGAATTTAAAAAATTAAGAGCAATAAGCCTGAACGGTATTTTTGATTATAAAATTTTTCACTTCTTCTATTTGCGAGATCGAATACATTTACTTCCATTAGACTTCTGTCTAAAACTGTTTCTATAATAATAAGAACCAGCTAAAATTTTTATGTCTTTTCGCAATAATTTTTGCTTTCTTCGCCTCTTCCCACCTTTAGTCCAACAATAAAACAAAAAAGGGCCGCTTCATCCCATGTACCTCCTCATTTTGTTCCTGGTGGGCTGACTGATGTCTTCTTGAAACGTTATTGTACGATTATCCGAAAATGTTACCATTAAATTTGTGCTTATCCATATTCCAGATTTCACGCCCAGCTCTTGGTCTAGGTATAACTTATGAGTACTTTTTTTTTTTATTGATAGTTTACGGTAAGGTTCAAGGTTCTTGTCGGCCCTTAATTGTGTAAGTGAAAGTAAAATTAAGTACCCTTTCTACTTATTAAAAGAATGGTAGAAAAATATCAATTTTATCAAAAATAGTATTGTTTTGTCATCAATCTAACACGTCCGTATACAAAATTTCATTATAAATAGGGGAGAGGGAGGGGGCTGTGACATACAGACAAACGTACAGGTGGACTGACTGAACCCTACTTTGCCATGGTACCCAAAAATCTACTAAAATTTGGCGTAATTATTCTCTACTGAATATACTTTACATTAATGTCGTTGGAGACTCCAATAGTGCGTTAGGCGACGAACCCTGCGAAGATTATAGTGCGATCTATTATTTGCGCTCTATTTAACCTTGCAATAAGATGTTCCATGTGAAAACATTTGTGATTATGCTTTTAGGATATATATTCTGTTAAAATAACTCTAAATAGTAGATATTTTTGATGTAAAATAACTATAAAAACACATTTTTTCTAGTTTTGAGATCGATCTCATTACTGAAAATTGCATTTTATTTATCTGCGTATAGAAAAGCATTGGCTTGCAATCTACACTGAGAAAGGCTTGTAAAAAAAGGCAAAACGTCGGTGTTTGTTGTTGTAAATATAATGTTTCTGACCTCATTATACATAAGTACAGAATCCTAAAAACTTGAAAAGATGACAGAGTTGAGGTAAACAGGAGCTAAAAGGAGTAGAGGTAGACCTAGATTACATTACTGTTCGCAAATAGATAAGGATGCGGGAAGATTAGTTCAGGATAGGAAAGAGTGGAGGTGCGTGTGCAACCAGTCTTAGGACTGACGAGCTGGAAGGACATTACCTACAGAAAAACATAATCGACTCATTGACTGCTCATTAAAAACTTAAAATAGTGTTCTACGTCGTAATACGGGACCTTATCCTTAGCAATTTAGCCGCTCCAGGTAAAAATAATTCTTGCCGCCCTTTATAATGACACATCCTGGAAGTCATGAACATGTTATACCAGAGGTGGGATGGTGCAATTATTAACTGACGCATGTAATATGGTTAAAATGGTATAATATTTGCATATTAGTTTACCGGGGCTTCTAAATGAGTGTACTACACTGCAGTGTGATGGGAATGGGTCTCCAGCACAAAACATTTTTATTAGAAGTCTTCAGAAAACTGTGTTAAACTAGACAAGCGAATAAACTTGGGAAAATTCTTAATACGTTGCGTTAGAGATAAAAGAGTATTCCCCAAAAATATCAAATAGTTGGGGAATCCCTGTGATACATAAATGAAACGAAAACGGTTGCCAGTTCAAAAATGTAAAATCGGTAAAAAAATTCTTCAGAATTTCCATGTATTCTCAACTCAATAATGGTGAAAAATCATTACATTTCGGGTGCTCAAAACAGTTGACTCCTTAGAAATACACTTGCTATGGGCTTATTAGGAGACGACATCAAAAAATTATTAGACAGCACATCAAAACCTATTGGCTCGTTTAAGAATTGACAGCTTTTAACTGAAATAGAAACTAAAAAAAAATTTTTTATCGGGTTACTAAGCCCTGTAATTTTTATAACAGTTTTTTCTCAGTGCAACCGCCCAACGAACTCAATTTTGCCGCCGCTTTGGGCATTTTCCCGGCGGGCCCCCTCGTTAGGTAGAGCTCTGACTGTAATTTTTAATTTATTAAAGACATAAAATCCAAATGTGTTTAAACTCTTCTATTTTAGTATCTATCATTAAATAAAAAAGATATGTAAATGAAGTTTTTATTTGCCAAAAATCTGTTAATAAAATAAATAAAATACTGTCCGAAACCACCAATTACGTGTTTCATTAATTTTTAATTTAATTATTGTGCTTATTAATCAGAATAATTAATAAGACATGCGCACAATGAGTGTCACCAAACATGTTCAAAAAATTAATATTAAAAACATAAATTGACGTTTAAACCCATGTCGAGTAGGTCTTTTTCTCTGCAGATGGGAATAACGATTTTATTTACACCTGAATAAACCATNTCACGTGTCGGATTAGCGTTTGGAAGCGATAAAAACTTTTGCCAAAAATCTGTTAATAAAATAAATAAAATACTGTCCGAAACCACCAATTACGTGTTTCATTAATTTTTAATTTAATTATTGTGCTTATTAATCAGAATAATTAATAAGACATGCGCACAATGAGTGTCACCAAACATGTTCAAAAAATTAATATTAAAAACATAAATTGACGTTTAAACCCATGTCGAGTAGGTCTTTTTCTCTGCAGATGGGAATAACGATTTTATTTACACCTGAATAAACCATTTAATCACGTATCGAACTCGAATTGGAATTTTACGAGGCAATTAAAGTTTACGCACTGGTTACTCTGTTTATATTATGCACAATTCAGTCGATGGCTTTAAATATGGACTGGCATGTTGAACTAGTGTCGTAGAGACGTAGAAAACTTTAAGTCTAAGGGAAACTGTTTGAGAAAGTTACAATTTATATTAATCATCAGTTGTGAGAATTAAAATTTCTAATGATTATAGGTATGGGTTTTTCTTTGTTCTTATTTTCTTTATAAAACATCATTTTGCCTAGTTAATTAAAAAAAGACGGACAGACAGACACACGAGTAAGAGCTCCGTTTTTCATTCGGACATAGGGAACCCTAACCTAAGAATCTTGGCATTTCCCCAAAACTAGAATAAACCACATTCTTAACTATTTGCGAACAGTAATATACTCTGGGTCTACCTCTATTCCTCTTACCACCTGTTTCTGCCTCTAATATTTCTCTGACTAGACCTTCATGTCTGAGAAGGTATCCTACCAACCTATCTCGTCAATTTTTTTATTGACTTCTACTTATAGATTCCTCTGTATTCCTATTCTTTCTAATACCTCTTCATTTCTAACCTTCTCTATCCACGCTATCCTCATCAATTAACAATCTTTTTCGAATTTCTAAATTCACCGTTCGCGAGCATATAAGTGGCGACTCGATCTTGTGCTATCCTCTACTTTATATCCCTGCTACTCCTTCGATCCTGAGTTATCTGACTTCATAGATACCTAAAATCAGCTACTTCTGCAAATCTTGCGCCTCCCTTATTTATATTAGCTCTTTCCTTACTTTTTTTCTATTTTTATACAATACCGTTTTGTCAATATCGCTTCCATTTTATTTAAAGCTATCTCTAATTCCTGATTGCTAGATGAAAATACTGTACTGTACTGTCTAATGATGCATACATAGGGGATACGAAAGGGGCTGTGACATACAGACAAATAGACAGATAGACAGACTGAATCCTACTTTACCATGGTACTCAAAAATCTACCAATACATAGCGTAATTACTCTCTACTGAATATGTTTTACATTTATGTCGTTGGAGACTTCAATAGTGCGTTAGGCGACGAACCCGGCAAAGGATTTGTAGTGAGATCAATAATTTGCAATCTATTCAATCTTTTAATTGAAAGTGAAAAAAATTCATGAGTTGCAATAAAACATATATACTGTCTAAATAACGTTAATTGGTACATATTTTTGACATAACCAGCATACGTAAAAACTTTTTTCCAGTTTTGAAGTAGTTCCTTTATCTCCATAGGGAGAATCATTATTGAGTTGCATTCTACCTTATTCCGAAAGCCAAAACGTCGATGTTTGTTGAGTAAATAAAGAGTTTTTTGACCCCATTGCGACTTTGATATTTACAATTCACTTATAAGTTTTTATAAATTCACCTTAATATTACCCAATGATTCAAAAGATGAAAGGGAAAATTAAAATACTTTCCTTTTCATTTAAAAACTTTTTGTTAATCGTTTAGTTATATATCAAAGGTGGTACCATTTAAATTTGAAGAAAATATTCAATTCCTAAGGGTGGAAAATAACTGGGTGGATGGTGGTTCGGGTGAGAAAGATGAGACGGACAAAATGTAGACATATATAAGAATGAAAGATTACTTTAAGTAGGAAATTTGAAGGGTATTTATACAACAGGATTGTTAGTAAATAGAGGGAGAACATTCTAGAAGGAAAAGGACTAACAGAACATGTACAGACTAGTTGAAATTGAATAGAATAGAATTCGAGGAAAAAGTAAGCGAGGGAAGCCATTAATAAGGGTTGTTAAGTAGGTATCGAAGACGATGAAATTCAAGGTAAAGGAAAAGAAACAAGGGCATGCACAAGAGAAGAAGCGAAAGGTTTACAATATTTACACAGGTACAAAAATATGAAAAATTAATATACAAAAATATATATACAAAATTGTACGTTTTCTATTTTTTGTATTCGCCACATAACTATAGATTTAAATGTTATAAAGGTTGAAATTGCGTTAAATAATTTCTGACTGGTTCAATGTTTTAAATTTTTAAAGAACTTCCCTTATGATAAAATTAAAAAAAAAATGTTTTCAACGGCTTAAATTATTTTAAGGGTGCATTTCAATGTTTAAAAGCAATCCTCTTTTCAACACGTTGAAATCTAAAACACTTGAGGTTTTTTTAATTCGTCATTGTTTGTAGACCCGCTATAAGGGGGCGTGGAAGGCGTACACCACACGCGGGCGACACATTCAATGGGGCGCCAAATTCTCGTCACTCTACAGTTTTTACAATTGCAATATATACTTAGAATTTTAGAAAAGTATAAAATATATTAGCTATACGTATTGAAAAGTAATACCTAGAAACTGACCCTTACCGCANGATACCCCCTGAACATACTAAATATACTACAGAATGTCTTTATATACAACATTCACAGTTTTTTGTCATTAGACAATACAAACCGGCCGGTACCGTGCAACCGCTATGTCCCTGCATTTTAAATCTGTAATATCTTCGAAAATATTCATTTAAATTACATACTGTAAAGGGCCATATTCATCTATATTAAATGCACAATGTATTTAAGGTACTTAATTGGATAGGATTAATGCTGTATTGCTTAAAATCGCTTCCTAAATAAGTCATTATTTCTCGTAAAAGGTAAAGGATAAAAAATGGATATGGTGGGTTATCCTTAAGAGATAGACATATACCATCCCGGACTTTTTTGTAGATGTACAATACTGTACTACATTTTTTTGATCTATCTCGTAGGGTTCAGCCAGCATTTGCAATGTAAGCGCAAAAATGTGTTTATTTACATCAGATTAGAAACCTCTAAAATTATCAGTGTTTCCTTACTATTTTGTGCATATATTATACATATAAACCTTCCTCTTGAATCACTCTATCTTTAAAAAAAACGCATCAAAATCCGTTGCGCAGTTTTAAATATTTAAGCATACATAGGGACAGACAGCGGGAAAGCGACTTTGTTTTACACTATGTAGTGATGACAAATATACCGACGGACACATTTTCAGCGACGTGGGGATGATTACAAATATTTTTAATTTCGTGGGAAGAACACCTCTTCCTAATATTATTCTATAGAATCCTTAATGAGTACCTACATACAAATAAATAGCTATCATATCTATTAGATTCCAATTTAATTCGGGTCATTATTTAAAGAAGACTTAATTCCTTTCGTCTTTGATAAGAGCGATAATAAAAAGCCGGAAGAGGACGACGCTGACGAGGTGCGAACCGTGGCAGAACTATTCATCATACCGTTTATGTTCCTAGATGCCGCGTAGAATGTTTCTCTTTAAAATAATAATTAAGCGGTTTGAAATTGAAGTCGTAATTGGATCGAGTCGGTACGTCTCACGTGTCGGATTAGCGTTTGGAAGCGATAAAAACTAACGACTTACATTGAACGCGACGAACGTGACGTAAAGTGATATTCAAATACGCGTAGTCGAGGAAGGAGAAGAAGAAAAAAAGGAATAACAACAATAATAAATAAAAGAACGACGAACAGGTGGACAATTGCTAATCGGACTATGAAGAAGCCCAAGAATATGATATGCTGCTTCCGGATGAGAAGTACGAAGACAGAAGTGCTATGGTGGCGGGACAAATGTTGGCCCTGCTGCGGCTCTACGACGACTTTTTAGCCAAATATCGGATAAGGCCCGAATTCTTTTGTAGGTAAGCGTTTTGATTTCATTTTTCCTAAATTTAAAAAGTATACGTGTCGCGTAAGAATTACAGTACAATTACATTAGGATTGTATCTAATAAAGGTCTTTCCGAACCGTAGTCTGGCAATCACTTAAAGATGACGGCATAATCCTGAGTTATCGGACTTAATTGGTACCAAAAATCAGCAACTTCTTCCAATTTTCCGTTTTCTGTTTTTTCTTTCCTTGCATACCACGATTTTTGCTTTACTTATTTAGTTCCATACCAAACTATTATCTCTAACTCCTCCTTGCTGCTGTATCATCTGCAAATCTAAGCATACTAATCTTTTGACCCTGTGTATCTATCCCTAAGGTTGTCTTGTTTTTTTATTACGTATATCGCATCTTCGATATATAAATTAAAACTAGCTTTTACCCGCGGCTTCGCTCGCAGAAATTAATATTGTTTCTCCATAAAACCTTTTAACTCCCAATTCACCCTTACAACGGTTTAATTTTATGTAATGTCGCTATCTTAGATTTCAAATACGTAGCAACAACATTTCATCCTAAAGGGTTGATTTTTAAAAATTGCCAAAACACGTATTTGCTTAATTTCAACAATGAGCAACCCTCTAGTGAATCCTAGTACAAATAAAATATACCCCATGGAAACGTTGCAACCTCTTTTCATTTGATTAATAATATCGAACAGCATATAAACCAAGTTTCAAGTAATTTTATCCACAAATAAATTATGTCCCAAACAAAAATTTCAACACCTTCTTACCCCCCCCCCTTGGAGGTTGAATTTTTTAAAATGTCGAGATAGATATTAAATGAGAGACCATTAAGACCAAGTATCAAGTAAATCTGACCACAAATAATATATGTTCCATTTAAACATTGCAACTCCTGTTCATCACTCCTCCCTCCCAGCAGAGATTGAATTTTTTATACCATTTTTAACAAATGAACGGCTAGACTGATGTTTTGACTGATAAATTTTTCGTTTTGCTGTCAGTTGCGTTTTGTTATTCCATGTCGGCTGCGTTTTCTTATACCACGTTTTATGTCAAGTTCCACGGGAACGGGATAAAAAAAGTATCCTGTGTCCGTCTCCTGGTTCTAAGGTACCTCCCAACCAATTTTCAGTCAAATCGGTTCAGCCGTTTTTGAGTTATAAATAGTGTAACTAACACGACTTTCTTTTATATATACATAAGTAGAGGTGACAGGTGTATCCTTATCTTCCTTGACTCCCTCCCTAATATTTATTGTTCTACGTACTGTGGCATACACCACTGTTTCTTATTGACGCCACAGACATGATTTCAGCATACAGTGGTGTCTCCAGTTTGAAGATTTGATTGATCGAGTAATTGATTATTGATCTCTTTTTCTTTTTGAGGAACGTAAATTCGTTTTTCCAGATTTTTGGTCAAAATGAAGCCTATATTTAAAAAGAATGGAACATTATTTGGACACTTTAGTTTTAAGATAATTCGTTGATTTGAAGAGTTTAAAATTCCTTCCTAATTATAACTCGAGTACATATATAGTTATATACGTATTCCCGACTATTTTAATACAAAGTAATCTATGCATAGTATCTTTCTAACTAATTTAATTTCAATTTTGTTTCAGGTACCGTGAGAAAGAGGCTTTACAAAAACGTTTAAGTAAAGTCGTAGAGGCAGCTTCAAGAAGCAGCAAGAAATGTTCCAGTTCTAATGGTAAGTAGATACCTAATTATGTACTATCTTCGGGCAATATTATCATTTTCATTGTATTTAAGTTTACAATGCCATACAGATAACACATTATTAAAATAGATTGATCGTATTTACTATTTTAATTCCTTTAATCGGTACAAGTGTTGAGAGACAGACGACGTATATAAGGAAATTGAGAAGGTAGTCCTTTATATGAGTTCTGCTATTTTTGTACTGTTACATGTGTTATTTCAATAGCATACTAATATTTAATAGTCATCACACAATTTGTTTAACCGCATTTGCTATTTTAATTCCTTTGACCGCAAGTCCTACAAATTTTGAGAGATAGACTGCGTAAGGAATTGAGGGTGCAGTCCTTTACAAGAGTCCTTCTGCTATTCTTGTATTACTACTTGTTTGACTGAATCGCAAATTGATATTTAATAGTCAATACATCATTTGTTAACCGCATTTGCTATTTTAATTCCTTTGACCGCAAGTGCTACAAGTTTTGAGAGATAGACTACGTAAGGAATTGAGAGGGCAGTACTTTATAAGAGTCCTTCTGCTATTCTTATATTACTACATGTGTGATTGAATCGCATACTAATATTTAATAGTCATCACACAATTTGTTTAACCGCATTTGCTATTTTAATTTCTTTGACCGTGAGTGCTCCAAGTTTTGAGAGATAGACTACGTAAGGAATTGAGAGGGTAGTCCTTTACAAGAGTCCTTCTGCTATTTTTGTACTACTACTTGTTTTATTGAATCTCAAATTTATACTTAATCGTTATTACATCATTTATTTAACCGCATTTGATATTTTAATTTCTTTGGCCGCGAGTGCTCCAAGTTTTAACAGATAGACTACGTAGGGAATTGAGAGGGCTGTTCTTTACAAGAGTCCTATTGCTATTCTTGTACTACTACTGGTACGATTAAATCGCAAACTTATATTTAATAGTCATTACATCATGTATTTAGCCGGATTTGATATTTTAATTCCTTTGACCGCAAGTGCTACTAAGTTTTGAGAGATAGACTACGTAAGGAATTGAGAAGGCAGTCCTTTACAAGAGTCATTGTGTTATTCTTATACTACTACTTGTGTGATTGAATCGCAAATTTATATTTAATAGTCATTACATCATTTGTTTAACTGCATTTCCTATTTTAATTCCATTGACCGCAAGTGCTACAAGTTCTTAGAGACAGGCTACGTAAAGAATCCAGAGTGTAGTCCTTTACAAGAGTCATTCTGCTATTCCTGTACTACTACTTGTGTGATTGAATCGTAAATTTATATTTAATAGTCATTACATCATTTGTTTAAGCGCATTAGTTATTTTAATTCCTTTGACCGCAAGTCCTACAAATTTTGAGAGATAGACTATGTAAGGAATTGAGAAGGCAGTCTTTTACAAGAGTCCTTCTGCTATTCTTGTATTACCACTTGTTTGACTGAATCGCAAATTGATATTTAATAGTCAATACATCATTTGTTAACCGCATTTGCTATTTTAATTCCTTTGACCGAAAGTGCTACAAATTTTGAGAGATAGACTATGTAAGGAATTGAGAAGGCAGTCTTTTACAAGAGTCCTTCTGCTATTCTTGTACTACTACTTGTGTGATTGAATCGCAAATTTATATTTAATTGTCATTACATCATTTGTTTAACCGCATTTGCTATTTTAATTTCTTAAATCGCAACCTCTACAAGTGCTGGGAGACAGACTACTACTCAAGGAATTTGAGAGGTTCTTTGCATGGGTGCTGTTATTTTTCTTGAAATATCAATTGTGTGATTGCAAATTAATTTATGAGCTTACTGACATTCCACATATGAAGTGTACTAGCAAATCAATTTACTTAATTATTTACTACAACAAAGTTTAGACCGCATATGCTACTTAAATATCTTTGACCGTTAATTTACGAATTTAGTGGAGAGCTCTATACATGTGAGGAGTTGATTTAAGTCGCCCTCCACAGACATCCCTTTGTTACTCCAGTAATTTTGCTAACAATAAAAGAAATTCTCGAGTGAAAAGCGTTTAAATTAAACAAACAACTTGACGTCCGAAGTAAGTATACAGAAGTGTCCGACTGTTTGCAGTAATTCAAAAGATCCTCTCGAGGATGGCATCGGCATGAAGTTGTCATCGGTAACAAGTGGTTTGATTCTTTCTCTTCCGTTTTTTTTTTTCTCTCATTGCCTTGTCTCGCCGAGCGGTGCTTATAAATAGTCGACAGCCTTCTGTTTCGCATCTTGGCGAACATAATTATGAAAAAAAGTGTGTGCTTCTTGAAATTGAAAGACATAACTTACCGTACGTTGTTGTTGCTGTTGTTGGTAGTGGTAGCGTGCGCTAGTGGCGAAAGAATATTGCTGCCATTACCGTTGTGGTCAAACAGGTGCTTTACAATTATTATTATTTACAAATAAATAACGTCCGATAAACCGATGTGCTTTTGTTCGGGAAAACTAATTTTGCGGCAAGGATAATTTTAGGAGTTAAAACATTGTGGTAAAATGTAATTGGTTTTTGAAAAAGATTAATACGTACACCGCTATTGTTTTTGTAATTGGGAAGTATGATAACAACTAAAAGAAAGTAATGATAGATAGGTACATGATGCGTACCTAGAGGGTCTGGATTTCTTTCCAAATTAAGCGAATAATAGAGATACTGGAAATAGGTTAAAGTATGTAGAAATCTACGAAGGAGCTGGAAACTTCGACTTGTGATTCGAAAATTTGATTTGCAGTTAGAAATTTCAATCTGAAGCTCGAAGTTTTGATTTGCAACTTGAAATTTCAATTTGCAGTTTGAGATTTCGACTTGCAGCTGAAAATTTCGTTTTGTAACTCGAAATTTCGAATCGCAACTTGAAACTTCAACTAGCGACTCGAAATTTCGATTTGCAGTTAGAAATTTCAACCTACAAGCCGAAATTTCCACTTGCAATTCGAGATTTCGACTTGCAACTAGAAATTTAGACTTGCAACTCGGAATTTCCATCTGCAAATACAAATTTCAACTCGCAGCTAGAAATTTCGATTTGTAACTCTAAATTTCGACTTGCAACTCGAAATTTCAGTTTACAGCTAGAAATTTTGATTTGTATCTAGAAATTTCGACTTGCAACTCGAAATTTTAGCTTGTAACTTGTAGCTTGTGATGGTTATTGAACCGTAACCTAACCCAACCTTACTCAATCTTTAATTTAAGAAAAACGCGATTTAGCTCTTCTACGACTTCGTAGAAATCAGAGCCCATAGGGTAAGAAGCTTTTTTTTATTATTTATTAATAAATCTACATCGACGTTTCGCCCCCACAGCGTCTTTTTCAACTTTTACTGTAGTGTATTCTTTCCCAATACTTAACATTTCAGCCCCGAAAAAATTGGTTTTGTAAATACATACTAAACAACTTATTAGTATGTAAGTGCAGTACAATAAATAAGTATTCCTCTTGTTTAATTTAAATGAGTTAATCATCATAAATTGTTTATGTAGATTTTATGTGTGCTCATGTGAAAAGGTCTTTGCCCTATTTTATTGAACAGTGTAGGTAGTATAAAACTGTAAATATTAGATTTAATTGACTCACCCTATTATTTAGCAGTGGTGGTTACTTGTGCCATAAATCTGTAAAAGAAAATAATTTTATANGACTCGAGTCTCTCGTTCAGAGACGCTAAACAGTTTTTTTGACAGTCTCTCGACAGTCTCTCAGTGTCTTTCAGAGTCTTTCGGCGTCTCTGAGAGCGCCTGTCACAGTCTTTCACAGTCTCTCAGTTATTGCCTACGTGTTTTTATGGATTTCTCACAGTCTCTGTGTGAGAGACTCGAACGATAAATTTGTTAATTCAGAGATTCAAGTTTCGCGTTCAGAAACTGGATACGAAATGAAAATCTCTCAGTGAGTGACTCGAGTCTCTCGTTCAGAGACGCTAAACAGTTTTTTTGACAGTCTCTCGACAGTCTCTCAGTGTCTTTCAGAGTCTTTCGGCGTCTCTGAGAGCGCCTGTCACAGTCTTTCACAGTCTCTCAGTTATTGCCTACGTGTTTTTATGGATTTCTCACAGTCTCTGTGTGAGAGACTCGAACGATAAATTTGTTAATTCAGAGATTCAAGTTTCGCGTTCAGAAACTGGATACGAAATGAAAATCTCTCAGTGAGTGACTCGAGTCTCTCGTTCAGAGACGCTAAACAGTTTTTTTGACAGTCTCTCGACAGTCTCTCAGTGTCTTTCAGAGTCTTTCGGCGTCTCTGAGAGCGCCTGTCACAGTCTTTCACAGTCTCTCAGTTATTGCCTACGTGTTTTTATGGATTTCTCACAGTCTCTGTGTGAGAGACTCGAACGATAAATTTGTTAATTCAGAGATTCAAGTTTCGCGTTCAGAAACTGGATACGAAATGAAAATCTCTCAGTGAGTGACTCGAGTCTCTCGTTCAGAGACGCTAAACAGTTTTTTTGACAGTCTCTCGACAGTCTCTCAGTGTCTTTCAGAGTCTTTCGGCGTCTCTGAGAGCGCCTGTCACAGTCTTTCACAGTCTCTCAGTTATTGCCTACGTGTTTTTATGGATTTCTCACAGTCTCTGTGTGAGAGACTCGAACGATAAATTTGTTAATTCAGAGATTCAAGTTTCGCGTTCAGAAACTGGATACGAAATGAAAATCTCTCAGTGAGTGACTCGAGTCTCTCGTTCAGAGACGCTAAACAGTTTTTTTGACAGTCTCTCGACAGTCTCTCAGTGTCTTTCAGAGTCTTTCGGCGTCTCTGAGAGCGCCTGTCACAGTCTTTCACAGTCTCTCAGTTATTGCCTACGTGTTTTTATGGATTTCTCACAGTCTCTGTGTGAGAGACTCGAACGATAAATTTGTTAATTCAGAGATTCAAGTTTCGCGTTCAGAAACTGGATACGAAATGAAAATCTCTCAGTGAGTGACTCGAGTCTCTCGTTCAGAGACGCTAAACAGTTTTTTTGACAGTCTCTCGACAGTCTCTCAGTGTCTTTCAGAGTCTTTCGGCGTCTCTGAGAGCGCCTGTCACAGTCTTTCACAGTCTCTCAGTTATTGCCTACGTGTTTTTATGGATTTCTCACAGTCTCTGTGTGAGAGACTCGAACGATAAATTTGTTAATTCAGAGATTCAAGTTTCGCGTTCAGAAACTGGATACGAAATGAAAATCTCTCAGTGAGTGACTCGAGTCTCTCGTTTAGAGACGCTAAACAGTTTTTTTGACAGTCTCTCGACAGTCTCCCTCAGCGACACCAGAGAGACTCGATGAGAGACGGAGACTCGAGTGGCGCTTTCAGAGACTCTGAGAGACTGGACATTTTTATCTAGGGAAGATTTTCCTTAAATATTGCGTTGGATTTGGATATTCCATTTTATAAGTATCTCATCGGGTATTTATTTAAAAAATGAGCATTCTCTAAACTTCTTGAAACCTTATACTATTTTTTTTTCAACACATTATGCATTTCTCAATTTTATTTTATAAGATGTAGGTAAATAATCTTAATAGGTACCTAAATAAATTTACATAGAAACGTTGCAGATGATTCACGGGCTATGACAAAGTTGTTTGTCGCGCGAAGACAAACCACTACATAGTTTACGATTATTACCTTTAAACGGCCACAAAGGCTGCTTAAAATTAACTAACCGTTTGTTAAAAAAAAATCGTCTGTAACGGTACCGGTCATGTAATCAGAAAGTAACTCAAGCAAAAGTTCTGTCGAGAGGAGCTCTTCTATCCATTCAAAGAAGGCTTTGAACGTGTGTGCCACATCGAATGCAAATTAGTTTACACGTCGTTTGTTTTGCAGCCTTAATTTGCATTATTTACTTTGATTTATTTTGTGTCGAGCCGCCACATCGACTTGTTTCCTGAATAATAACAGACACATTCGGAAGATTTTGAAATTCTGCACGTTAGATTCGATTTTGATTGATTTTAAATGGTATCGAATTGATGCGCAATGAGTCATTGTCGAATCATTGTGCGTTGTGTTAGGTTAGTATAGGTTGTAATTGATTTTAAAAGTAATCGATTAAGTGTTTTAAAAATTAGAATTTCCCGACATTATCAACTGGTTTGAAAGATATTACCGAGTGAAAACAGCAAAAGAAAGTTCTTGCTGTGTAGGCAAGATCGGTGTAACTGGGATAGCTGATAATACAATTTTGACTAAACAACTGCAAAGAAATGAGTGGGTTGAAATGAATATGCCGTCGAAATTAAAATGTAGGTGTTACGTGCCATCAATAATGATGTCCAAAGTCCAATATTGGACGCACACAGAGATCAGTATTAGCATTTAGTAAGGAGGAGTTCAAGATGGCTTTAAATAAAATGGAAGCGGTATTGACAAAATACTACTGTATGAAAATAAATAAAAGTAAAACAAAAACACTGGTATGCAAGGGAAGAAAAAGTAGGGAAAAATCGAATGTAAAGATAGGAGACAAAAAATTAGAAAAAGTGACTGATTTTAGGCATTTAGGAAGTCAGATAAGTCAGGACGGAAGAAGTAGTAGGGATATAAAGCAGAGGATAGCCCAGGGTCGAGTAGCCTTCAATAAAAAGAAGTCACTTTTATGCTAGCGAACGATTAATTTAGAAATTCGAAAAAGATTGTAAAAGGTGTATGTTTGGAGTGCGGCGCTGTACGGGTGCGAAACATAGACGGTAGGACCGGCGGAAAAGAAAAGGTTAAAAACGATCGAAATGTGGTTTAACGACGAATAATGCGGACAGAAAAGGTTAGAAATGAAGGCGTATTAGAAGGAATAGGAGAACATAGGACTCTATGGAAGTTAATAAGAAATAGGCGAGACAGGTTGGTAGGACACTTTCTCAGGCATGAAAGTCTAGTCAGAGACATATTAGATGCAGAAACAGGACTTAAAACGAGTACAGGTAGACCTAGAATAGATTACTGTTGAAAAATAGTTAAGGATGTGGACTGTTCTAGTTTTAGGGAAATGCGAAGATAAGTTCAGGATAGAAATGAATTGAGGTGCGTGTCCTACCAGTCTTAAGACTGACGACCTTATGATGATGAAATTTTGATAACTCTAGCTCTACAAGGAGGCTATCAAAAATTGCCAAGGGGTGGTCAACAAGTCGATCAATGTCACTTTTGGTCGATTGTCGATCGCTTGCAAAGTCTGGGGTGAAATTCCGTGTACTTTGGATTTTGAAACGTTTGCAGAAGACAAAACTTTTTAGCATAAACATATATTTTATTTATCTACCCATACCTCGCACCTTATACTAAAACACATAACAATAAAAATAAACATAGTATGGGTTTTACATCCCTTAGACTACGCCTATGATAACATGTCGATCTCGAAACACTTCTAAGATAAAAAGTAGATCTTTTATACCTATACAGAAAAGTTGGTTACCCTTGCTCTAGTTGATCGCAGGAAGACAAGATTTTCCCGGCGATCATGAAAAAAATGAATTACAAAAATCGACTTAATGTTGAAACTGAATTAATAGTAAAATTGAGCAAAATCGACACAATTTTAGGCAAGAAACAGCGGTATCCATTTTATTAATTAACAATATATTGCTATTTGTATTTGTATGATCTTTTGTTTAAATAAAAACTAGTATTTTGTTCTAGAGCAGGATTTCTTTTACAAGAATTCTCAAAATTAGTTTTACTTAGTAACGGTATAAAACTTGTACTGTAATGTGCTCTCTACGGACTTATAAAGTTTGGTTTATTCGCAGTTTAATAGAAAGTTTGGCATTTTTTTTTTGTGACGATGATTATTATTAGACGATATACAAGTGCTAAGGTCGGGGTAGCTAGATTAGAAAAAAGAGACCTAACTGAGCTAGTAATAGCTAAAAACTTAAAAAAACGATCTTGTTTGATTTTCGCCCTGTATTTATGTTTATTGATATGCAAGGGGTAATCTGCGGAATCACTCGGTCGATTCTAAAAAATCTTTGACTTATAGAAATGTAAACCTGCGCTACAATAAAATGATTGGATATACGTGAAAATATTATTTATTCTATTATTCTGTAGTTTTATTAGAACGCCTATAGCGAAGCGGGTTCAGGTCTCCGGTGTTTAATAAAGACATAATCATGTATGGGACAAGTTATATAATTTCTTTTATTGCAGCAATTTGTGCCAATTATTGCAAATGGATATGCAGTAATATTTGTACTGTTATTTACTTGTTAAGATAAATTAGTAGATAAATTAATGTCAGCTTAACCATTTCCCCATATCCGATATTAAAATGTCCATTTACATAAACTAATTACATGAACTAATAAAGATATTTCTTAGTACATATAAGTAAATCTATTTACACTTTTGCATTCTATCTCTTAAGTCAGTTAAACGATAAATAAGGAAGGAATGAAATAATGATAAACAAGTGCGGCTTGGTTTGTGTCTTGTTCTTATAACATTGGTTCTTTTTCTTCTTTTTGCAAGACACCGTAATAGTTTAGACAAATTAATATTTTTAACCTTTTTATTCGCCAATATTTTTTTACTAAAATATAAAAAAGGAAGACCTTTTCTTTTCTTGACCAAACAAGAATATTTTATTCACAGAATGCATTAGTTTTATACATTTCCTAATACAATATCGGA